CGGCGGTCCGGGTTTCTCCGGGTCCCGCCGCCTCCGCCGCAGCCATGTCGTCCTTCCCGGAGCTTTACTTCAATGTGGACAATGGCTACTTGGAGGGACTGGTGCGCGGCCTGAAGGCTGGGGTGCTCAGCCAGGCGGACTACCTCAACCTGGTGCAGTGCGAAACGCTCGAGGGTGAGCCGCGGGGCGGGAATGAGGGGCCTTGAAAGCCAGGATGGAGGCCAGCGGGGCTTGAAGATTCAGAGATCTGGGCGGGAAAGCCGGAAGCGGGGGGTCTTGAAGGACTTGAAATACCTCTTTGGGGTATTAAGGGCTAGTGGCGGGGGGGCGGGGAGGGAATCTGCGTCTAGCTGCGGCTCGGCGCAGGCCGGTACGCAAACACGGCTTTAGAACCACAGTGGTTCCCCTCTGCTTGGGCCATCTCTTCTCCCGTAGTGTTCGCCATATAGTTTGGAAGGCGGAGGTCTCTTGGGAGTGGTTGGCGGGAACAAGGTGTGTCCATATAAGCCTCTACCCTGGGATAGCCAGAGAGCTGCCCTGTCGCAACGCTCAGGGAAGCTAAACGGAAAAGACCTCCACTTCCCTCCGCCCTTCAGACACCAAAGCTTTGGCGATCCTTGTGTCTCTGCGGTGGCCTGCGGAGTAAGCAGTCCTGGGGAACTGCTGAACTCCCTTGGCGAGTGTTTTCTCTCGTCTCCAGACCACTGGCTGGGCAGTATCTTCTGAAGATTTGATGGATAAATCCTAATCCCTCAGCCAAGGGGAAGATGCATGCTGGGACGAGGTTTCTTAGCCCAAGAGTGGTGAGAAGTTGAGTTTCCCTTTCCTCTCTGCACACAGCTCCGAAGTGGGGCTGAGTCCCTGAGGCACAGCTGCAACACATGTACTGAGTTCGAAATGTCCTTGACTCCGGCCTTGGCCTCCACCCTGCCACCACCACCAGTAGTAGTAAAGGGCAGGGTGACTAGAATGTGAGTTCCTATCCTTGACTCCAAAGTGGCATCTTTGAGAGGTTCCTAGAGCCTCATGGTTGATCGCCTGGAGGGTGAAAACCTCATTCATTCATCCACTCAAGGGAATTTTCTCATTGAAAACTTAAGGGTAAAAGTGAGCTCAGGGCCAGCCCATGCTGTGATGGTTAAGGCGAACCTTGCAGCTTGAGGAAACCTGCTGGGGGCCAGCCAGTGGCGTGATGGTTGGACGCTGGACTCCCACATGGCTGACCACGGTTCAAGTCCCAGACCCGGTGGCTTGCTTTCTCACCTTCCCTCCCTCTCTCTTTCTCTGATCAAACTGGAAAATGATAGTAATAATGATAAATAAAGTTAAGTAAAATAATTATTAAAACAAATCTCACTTAAAAAAAAAAAACCATGCTGGGCGAATGTGCCTGTGTGCCCAAAATTCTGAGAGGAATCTGGAGGAGAAAGGATTGCAGCGTGGGCATCTCACCTGGTGGGGTGCTTTCTCACTTTCCCCCTCTCTCGCTCTCTGTGTGCCTCTGGTGAGCCCACACACCCTATAGCAAATAAAGTAAGTAAGTAAATAAATAAATAAAAGTGAGCTCAAAGTCAGTAAATCAGTTGTTTACTTTGTAAACAAGACCAGCAAAATAAAAAATAAAGACCTATAAAATATAAAACTTATTGAAGCTAAAATATGGTAATTGTAGGTTTTATGATTTGAACGTAAATCTGCAAGAAAAGTTGTTTACCTTCCTTATATGAGTGGAGATAGGGGAGTTGAAGAGAGCATTTTAGGGTGCTGGGTTGTGGGAGCATAACAGCATCCTGATTGGCCCTCTCGGGAAAAGGAGAAACAGAGGCTGCCTGGGGCAGGGCCTTGCAGTTGGCACTTCGTGTGACTGTGGCAGTCTACTTTTGTGGACTGACTGGAACTTAAGGAAGATCTTTATATGCTTAAATCTAAAGGTAAATAGCATTCATATGAGCTGGTATTTGGTTGGCTAGTTTCTCTTCTCAGTTTTCCTCACTCCTGCAGCTGTTTACCCCCTCGTAGAGCTTCTGGGAGCAGAGGGTTTCCATCCTCCCAGCAGACCCTCCACCGTCCTCCATTAACATGCTAGGCCTACAGAATTGTTCAGCACATCGTCGCCCCCTCCTGTGGGACTCTACCCCCTCTCAGCGCTGCTTTCCCTTGCTCTTTCGCTCACAGGCCTATCCCCCAGCATTTGGCGCACGTAGTGTGGTAGACTTTGGAGTTAGGCAAACCCTGACAGTTACTGGATTATTTTAGACAGGTGATTTAATAGCTCTAGACCTTGGGTTCTTCATCTGGTATATTAACAGCATCTATCTAATAAAGGTTGTAGAATATCAACTAGCTGTGATGAGTAACAAACACATCTTAGCCCAACAGGACAGGGTAACTAATGGGTAAATATGACAATAGCTCTTATTTTCAGTATTATATGTGTATGACTTCACAAGAAATATGTTTTATAAAGGCCTCTCTGCGTTGTGATCCTCCTGCCTCCACCTCTTGAGTAGCTGGGACTGTCAACAAGCATGTACTGTTGCATCTAGTGTTTTGGGGAAGGCTAGGAGTCAAACCTGCCCCCCCCCCCATGTGGCCTTAGCCTGTCAGGTGGTACTGTCCAGCTCATGCTTCTGCACTGGGCCTTTTTTCAGTGTTGTTTGTACCTGCGGTTTCCTCTGTTTCCTTCTCGTGTTCATGATGCCGAGTGATCCCTGCCCTTCAGGACCCAGTCCTAGTACCCCTCATCTTGGGAACTCTGAGTGGCCTTGCTTACTGTGCTAAATTGTTGTACTCTCTACACAGTCACAGCTCTTGTGTTCACACTGCTTTCCTAGAAATTCTTGACCTAGAATTTGGGGATTCTTGGGTCCTTAAATACTGAAGATGCTCAGGATTCTTAAGGGCTGGAGAGAACCTGAAGCAGGAAGAAGTGACCAGAAACTCCGTTTACCTTCTCATAGAGGCCTTCCCTGCTTCCGAAGGTGAAAGCAGAAGCCTGGCATTCAGGCTGCTCTTTTTTTTTTGGAGAGGTTTTTGCTATAGGGTGCGTAGGCTCGCCAGACAGACAGAGAGAGAGAGAGACAGAAAGCGAGAAATCATCCCCCCAGGGTGGATGGCCATGCCAAAATCCCTTCTCCTCCATTCTCCTCACAGGATCTTGTGTACACATGCACACGTGCCCGGCGTGAGTTTTAAGCCACCGGGTCCAGGATGCGAACCGTGGTCGACTATGTGGGAGTCCAGCGACATAGCCATTACGCTATCTGCTGGTCCCTCTTACTGGGTGGTTTTGCTTTCCTTTCTCCAGAGCAAGAGGAGGCAAGGGAGATCAAGGCTTGTAGTTCCTAGTCACCTAAATCCCTGTCTTGAGTGGTGAAGTTTCCAAGGAACATATTTCAGGTGTTCGGCACTTCGCGAGGGCACAGGGTGATGGGTGGAGAGTGTTAATTGTTTTGTGAGATAGGTTAAATATAGCCTATCTGCTGTAACCTAGCCTTCCTCCTTGGGTTCTACTCCTGCGAGACATTCGTTCTTTCCTAATAGAACTTAATCTTGCTCTCTTTTTTTATAAAGGAGATTTTTGTTATAGGGCGCCTGCTCTTGGTAGAGAGACAGAGACAGAAAGTGAAAAATCACTCCCCAGGGGGATGGCCTTGCCACAATCCCTTCTTCATTCTCCTCTCAGGATCTTGGGCACATACTCACACACGCCTGGCTTGAGTTTTAAGTTGCTGGGTCTGGGACTCAAACTGCGGTTGACTACATGGAAGTTCAGTGACATAACCATTATGCCATCTGCTGGTCCCAGAATTTAATTTCTTAAGACCTCCGAAGCCCGCGTGTCCTTCATTGTCCATCTTGCCTGATTGTCTCTTCCTAGGGTAGGAGAAAGATCCTGGAAAGGATGTTCGTCTCTGGCGAACTGAGAGGACGGAGCCAGGTGGTCCAGAAAGCTCTTTTCAGTTGAGTTTATCTGGATGTGTTGTGTACCTTCTGGGAGCTGGGTCCTGTGCTAGGGATTTGTGAGGGGAGAAGAGGCCACTCAGAGATGCATAAACATCATACAGTGTTACTTAGAATGTCTTCACATGAACGATGTTCTCTTGACCCTCAGAGTCTGGGGTGAAGGAGGTCAGTGGGACAGGAGAAAACAGTAAAGGATCATCTTGGCATAGTGGTTACGAATGTGGGCTTGCCGCTTCGTGGCTCCGTGGCCCTGAGCGAGGTATGTAATGTCTCAGTTTTGAGACATTACATACATTCTCATTTATGAAGTGGTGGTAATAATAGCACCTATGTCATAGAGTGGTCATCAAGGCTAAACTACGGTATCCGTGTAGGGCCAGCCCCACAGCTTAGTGGTTAAGGGAGCCAGATCGCACATGGGTTGACCCCTGTGGCTTGAAAAATAAGCTGGGTGGCAGGTGGGTGTGAGTGACTCAAATCTCCACAAAATGGAGAAAGGATTGCAGCGTGACCACGCCCAGAGAGGAATACTTTCATCCTCTCTCTCTGCCTCTCTGGTGAACCCATGCACCCTCTGGCAATTACAGAGAAAAAAGATTATTCATGTAGAATATGCAGCATACACTGGGCACATAGTAAACGCTCAGTGTGGTAGTTACAGTTATTGTTAAATAAACAAAATAAACATGATTATATACGAGTGATGTTACCTGTGAAAGGGACAATGTAGAGATGATAGAGCATTTTCTTTTGAGAGCATGACTGGCTAAAGCCTGCTGAGGGATATTTGAGCTGAAATACGAAGAACGAGAAGGAGCCAGCTCTACGGAGAGCCAGAGGAAGAGCATTTCAGACAGAGACCAGGGGGCAAATGCAGAAATGGTTGTCCAGAAGGAACTCCAAATGGCAGGCTGTAGGGACTGACAGTACAAATCTGGGAACCCAGACCCTTGTTTTTTTCTTTTTCTTTTTTTTTGGAGAGATTTTCACTGTAGGGCGCGTGCGCTCGCCAGACAGACAGAGAGAGACATAGAGACAGAAAGCGAGAAATCGCCCCCCAGAGGGGATGGTCACGCCGCAACCCCTTCTCCTCCATTCTCCTCTCGGGATCTTGGGCACGCACGCACACGCGCCCAGCGTGAGTTTTAAGCCACCGGGTCCGGGACCCGAACCGCGGTCGACTACGTGGGAGTCCAGCGACATAGCCA